GTCAGAGGGAGAAGCAGACTCCCTGCCGAGCAGGGAGCCCAATGCGGGACTCGATCCCGGGACTCCGGGATCATGACCCAAGCCGAAGGCAGTCGCTTAACCGACTGAGCCACCCAGGCGCCCTCAAATAGATTCTTTTGGGGTAGTTCATCTTTCTTCTGGGTGGTGTTGGACGGTTGAGGCACTGGTCTGAACAGGGCCTGGGAAAACCAGGCGGGACTGTGTATTTTAACCAAAGAGCCCTAGACAAGGAGTTAGAAGGCTGGAGTTCCATTCTCATCTCTGTCACTGATCTAGGTAGGTGAGCTCAGGCAAGTCTCAATTCCTCCACCAGAGCTGGAGTACACTGCTCAGGTACCTTTCCACATCGTTACTAGATGAAAGATTTCTTCAGAGGTTCTCAATGTGTTCAAATAGTTTGATTCTACTTGTGTGTAAGGGATTCTCAAGTTCAGGCTGCAGAAAAAAAGGACGCACCCGAGGGCGTGTTGAACACCCTTCTCTGCAAGACTCCTCAGGCTTTTCCCCCCGCCCACTCTCTCCACTATGTCATCACATTTCCCATAACTCCCACAGGCCAACAGGGCAGCAGGTAGATCTCAGGACTCTTTCAGCCCTGTGTCCTTGTAGCTGAACTTAGTGGGGGCTTAACAAACGTTTGTTGAAGGAAGGAAAGAAAAAATTTCCTTCCTGATAAATTGAGCCATTTTCAAATAAATAATCACCCAATGAACGAATGAGCAGTTATTTATAATCTTGTCCACCAAGAAATCATTAATCCTTGTTTCTCCCCCCAGAGCCTAACTGCTAAAGAAATGCCTTTCCTAAGATAATGATCAGAAAGTGAAACTTAGAAACTGTTTTCAAATTGTCCTACTGATAACTTGTGGAAGTAAAAGCAACTGCTAAAATTGGACATGCAACAGTGGATTGTTTTACTTCAAAAAATAGTAACATTTATAGACTTTTAATTACTCTGAAAGTAGGAAAAAACACAACTTTTCAAACATCAGTTATCTGCCCTTCTAGCAAGCAACATGGCGTCAGAGGAAGCAGAATATAAAATGCTGGCAGGCAGCGAACCAGCACAAGGCGCTCCAGAGTCTGGTTCTGGCTCCACGGTTAGCACCTCATGACACTAGATAGGTCTCCTTGAGGCTTGACAGTTTGGGACATAATAGCCTCTAAAGCACCTTCCAAATTTAAAGGTTCATATTTATGAGTCATTCATTACTTGCCATGACCTTAAGCTAAAGATGCCTGTGTTTTTCCCCATGAAACTGGCACTCTGGTGGCTAACAGAGTGGAGAATTTGCTGAGCAGCAGAACTGCAGTGATGGTGACAAGGCCCAGGAAATTCCTGAAGCCGCCAGTGCTCCAAGCACCCTTCTTGAATTTGGAGTCTCTCTTTTGTTTTCCCTTCCTTTCCTTTAATTTGAAAGTAATATAGGACTTTTGCAAACATTTCAAACAATGCAGAGGAGAACAAAGGAAGTCTTCCGTGAATTCTTACCTGAAGCTTGACAAAAGCTAAACCCAGATGATGATGCTGTCGTGGTGGTGGCTGAGGTGCCACCAAACACAGAGCCTCCCTGCCCAAAGCCGGGACCCTGCCCAAACGCAGGAGGGTTGCTTTGGCCAAACAGCACCCCTCCTGTGCTGGCAGAAGACTGTCCGAATGAGAAGGCGCTGGAGCTACTGGCGCTCGAAGAGGCACCAAAGACGTTCCCACTGGCAGACGTGGAGGTGGAGGACACGGGCTGCCCAAAAGCAGGCACAGAGCTGAACCCAGGCTGACTGAAGGAAAAGCCGCTCGTGGGGCTGCTTGTTGACTGCCCAAAGGCCGGGGCCTGCCCAAACGACGCCTGTCCAAAGACCCCGGGGGCCGAGGTGCCGAAGGCGGGGCTGCCGAAGCCCGAGCTGCTGACCGGCGGCGTGGCGGCCGCCGAGCTGGCTATGCTGCCCGTCTGCTGCGCAAACAGGCTCGGTGCGGTGCTGGCCGCCACCTGCCCAAACATGGGGGCAGCCGAGGGGGCGGTGGCCGTGCTGCTGGGGAGCTGACTGAAAGCTGAGCTAGAGCTAGCAGCAGGTGGCTGAGCGAAGACAGAGGAGCCCGAAGTGGCGGTCCCAAACGCCACCGTCTCCGTCGCCAGGCTCGGAGCAACGCTGGCAACAGAACTGGAGGTCGTGGGGGGACCTGGGGTTTCAAGGGCCACGGGGACCGTGCCTGGGGTCGTCGCTGCCGTGACAGCGGGCTGCCCGGGCGCCGAGAGCGTGGAAGCAGGAGCTGCCGGCTCCGTCTTGACATCAGGGACCGCGGGGGCTGCTGGAGTGGCCTCTGCACCGGGTGCCACGAGACTGGAACTGGACGCGGCAGGGCCGGCGCTGCTAACCGCAGGCTGCGCGAGGGCAGCTTCTTTCTTCCCGGAGTCAGAAGTCTGCAGAGGAGCTGGGGGAAGCGGGGCTGACTGGTGCTGCCCCAGGAGTGAGGCTGTTGATGCTGAGGCCTCACTGCTGTCTGGCTTCTCAGGCGAAGCTGAGGACGTGGCCTCCTCTGTGCTTTTACCAGAGGACATAGGCAGGGTGGGAGCGGATGCTGAACTCAGGAGGCTACCAAATGACAAGGTGGGGAACGAGGTAGGAAGGGGAGCGGCAGTTGTCGCCGACGGAGGGGCGGATGGGGGTACTGTACTACTCGTCTGTTGGCTTCCAAAGGAAAAACTCGTCTTGCTACCACTTGGGGCCATCCCACTGAAACCGATCACCCCGGAGGATCCCGCGCTGGGGAGGGGCAGACTGCCAAAGATGCCAGGCGAGGAAGTGCTAGCGCTTGGGCTCACTGCTGCCGGTGCCCCTGTGGAGGCGGTCACAGAGGAGGTCACAGGGGGCTCTGCGTGCTTCCCTAACACGGGAGGCCCAGTAAAACTAAACCCCGAGGGGACGGTTGAAGTCTTGGTCGGCTGTGCACTAGTCAGGCTTGTGGATGAAGCCTTAATGGCTGGCTTTGTGGAATCATCTGCTTGGCCGACGCGCAGTCCCGAGAAACTTCCCAGGGTCTCTCCGGCCAAAGAACCTGGAAACAGAAGCTCTCCCAACTTGGATGGTGGAGTTTCCAGCTTGCTAGAGGAGTTAGAAAGAGCAATTCCAGAAGGTGCTGCGGGTCGGCTGCTGGAAGGCGCAGGCTCGGCAGGAGAGGCTCCGGCGCTGGGTGGCGCTGTCATCCCCGACAGGGGCGAGCTCTCAGCCACAGGCTCGTAAAAGGGTTTGCCTCCCCCGCCAAATGAGAACGCGTCGAGCTGCTGTGACTCTTTAGCGGGGGGTGCTGTCCCTAGCGAGAGAAAGAAATTAGAAAGTGGGTTGGATTTAGTGACACATGACCCGTCACATTCTCACGGACTGTGTCCAAGCCCAGGTCTCTCTCCCTTTGACACGGTTGGGACGGCTATTCCATGACAGTGCCTTTCCTCGGGGAAACAGAGTGAATGAATGCTCTTCCACAGGAGGGCTAGCTCTGAGCTCACAGAGGTGAGAAGAATAAACATCCTTTTTATGACCGCTCCGTCGTAACAAATACACCATCCTATCTAGAAGGCATGAAATTCACAGTGTTACCCCAGAAGAGAAGTAAGACGGCATCTTCTCTCATTTTCCCGTGTGTGCTTCCTCAATAACAATCCTGACACTGTGCTCGTCTATGGACCTCCTGGTATGCCAGGACTTGATCCAAAATGGAAGCTCCTCCTGTGTCTTTCCACTATCTGTGTCAGTCCACAGACTATTATTTTTATGTACCACAGACTATTGTTTTTATGTACAATGAAGGGCTACGTCCTAGTGCTCACCTCAGTAAGCAGCTCTATAGAGGGCAACATGGACTCGTGGTCAAGGACATGGGCTCTGGAGCCGGGTACTCTGCCACTTGCTGGCTGTGCAACTCTGAAAAAGTTACTTTACCTCTCTGGGCCTCAGGTTCCCCATTTGGAAAATAAACACAGTAACAGTAGCCACCTCAAAGAGCTGTTATAAAGATTAAATGAAATCTAGGTGAAGCCCTGATAAGGCCTGGTCAAACAGTAAGCGGTCAACAAATAAAAGTAACCAAAATTGGATAGTTATAGGTAAAATTAACCTATTATAGTGTTTATGGATATTTCTAACTCCACATTGTTCTTGGGAAGGCTATAAAGCCCCAACTTCCCATGTACAATTTCCTGAAAGACCCTGTTGTATCACTGCTGTTGTACTGAGTTGCTTATGGTTTTGGGTTGTTTCTATTCTCGTATTAACTAAAATGTTTATGAAATTACCCCTGCATTTTATGACTATTTTACTTATGACTTCTGACAGTTATTATTTTACTCCTCTTAATCTTTTTATATCACTGAGTTGTTTCTCCTCTAGAAAGGGGGATGGGGAAGAGATGGGCCTCGAGGGTACTCTGCCCTATCTAAGTGGGCAAAGGTTACAAAAACAGTTCAAGAATTATTATTCTAGAAAGAAAGGAAGAAAACTACCAACCCTTTAAGTGCCACACACAAATCAGGTTTAGGAAGTCTGCCATGCTTTCAGCCCCCTAATTTCCCTCCAGATCTTAAGGGATCCCCTTTTTTACTAAAGCCTCTACCACTTGCGTTGGCACAGAGAAAGGACTCAAAAAATATTTGTTGAATGAACAGATGAAAGATGGTCAATGTCTTATTTATCATAGGGAACATCTGGAAATAACCTAAATGTCCAACAGGTAAATGGGTTAAATAGTTCAAGGCATATATACAAGATAGAAATTATGTAGCCACTACAAATAACATTTATGTAAAATTTCCAGTAATACTGGAAAAGTCATAAGAGATGGTGTTAAATGAGATAAAGTAGAAGACAAAACACCCGGAAGGACATATAACAGAAATGCAGTAACTGAGGGGTACAACGCGTGATTCTAGAATACATCACTTTCATAATAAGAGCTTGCTTTTTAAAATGAAAGAAAAATAAACTTAATTACTTAAACTGAGAACTGGAAGGCACTTAAAAAATACATGTGGTTTCTTTACAGGTCCCTAAATTCTTTTCAACATTAAAAACATGCCAGTTGATGGACACATAACAACACACAGAGGACCAGTGTGTTTGCCAACTTTTACAGATAAGAAGATGGAGCGAGACATTTTAATTCCCATGTTAACATCCACATCTTTGAAAAGTACAGCCTTGCTTTTCCAGAAGCAAATCCTTTCCTTGTTCTTAATTTAAAAAGTCAACAGATGTCCTCCCGTTTAATTTAAATCCAGCTTATTTTGAATGCACAACCTCGACACCGAACTTACTGCAGATGCTTTAAGCAAGACTCAGAGGCAAGGAAAATGTCGACGCATCTGTACGAAAACCCAGCATTTGTTTAGAGGAAACACAAAAGGATGGCTGCGCCCGCAGAGAGAAACTGTACCTTGTGTGGCAGTGACGTTAGAAGACGGGGTTGGTGTGATTATCCCAAAATTAAAGCCAGTCCTAGGGAGCGCAAGAAGAGAAGTTAAACACCTGGGGCACAATACTGCCCTTTCAATGTCACATTTTATGACTTACACGACCGATCTGCTCGTAGGAACTTACAACTGAGAAGATAAATGACAGCAGGGTGAAAGCATGGATCTCAGAGGTAGTAAAGGGCTCAGAGGGACGGCCGGGCTTTCCACGGCAGAGTCTGGTGGGTGAGGCCCTGCGCCAAGGCCAGCTAAGGAGCAGTCGTGGAAATGCAATGGGAATGTGCATGTGGGCACGGTGGCGAGGGCAGATGGCGTGTCTCGTGATGGAGGCAAGGGAGCCAGGCCAGGGAGAACCCCTCATAACCCACCCCAAGATCAGAGAGCTCGTCAGGAGCATGCCACACTGCCAGGGAGCAGGGAGGAAAGCATGAAACAGAAGCCACCATCCCTGCTGTTTGGACAGAACTCTTAGTTCTCGGCTGGGAAAATTTGGTTCAAACCATTTCCGGACTCTTTTATCAACCCCTCTCTCCTATTGTAGATTTTCTTTAAACTGTGAGTTAAGACACCACAACCAAAGGAGAAAATTCAGTGCGTGCGTGAACCAGAAGAGACTATTCACTGTGATAAAAGTTCAAATAGCAAATTTAAAACCACAGTTTTAAAACATAAAGGGCCAAAAAAAAAACAACAAAAAAAACCCCATAAAGGGCCAAGCATATCAAATATAGTATTGTAAGGATTTAGGTTTTTCTTACCCATCACTGCCTTCCTTGAATGGACAAAGAGCATCTAAGAGGATGTGTTAAACATTTTATCATATTTTTAAAAAAATCCTTTCTTTGTCTCAAGCTTGGTGAAGAAATTTTCTCTAATAGAGGTAAGCCATTGACCTAGTGACCCAAACTTTTCACCTTATCTTAAAAATGGGAAGAAGAATATCCGTTTACAGAAGTGAAGATTATTAGCCTTTGTGAAGGTAGCAATAACTCCTGGCACTGACCTGCTCTTTAAGATTGGCTCCAAACTATCTTTGAGAAGTATAAAACACAATGATTTACACTAAAGAAAAAATATTTAACTTCCCCCCCCCAAATTCTATTCTAACCCCCCCTTTGCTCTTAACGTGTTAGGTTGAACGACTCTTAGGAAACACATTCGCATCAGGGGAGAGACTGTGGTTAATGTGATTCCAGTCACAAAAGCATGAAATGCAAGAGCTCCAGAAGCTTTCCTAATGGAACTGAACATGCAACCCTTCAACGGCAAAAAAAATCTTTGGATAGGTTTTTATCTCTACTCCACAGAGCCTAGCTCCCTGCTGAAGGCCCCTTCCCCAGGGCTCCACACAAGGTTCCCCAGCACAGAGAAGAGGTACTGTCCCTCTGAGGTTAATCAAGGCTCCCGTGGAAAGAAGTTAGAAGACTCTTTCATTTTTAAAAATGACTCAACTTCACAAGTACAGCCATCATTACTTTTAGAAAAATGAAACAGGAACACTTGCCCATATCTATGTAAGACCCAGATTTCCCAATGGCTACTGTTTTTCATCACCTTGTCTCAGTTTAATGTAGTGACCTCTCAAACAGTAAAGCCAATCCAAACATTACACCTAGCCCCCAAATGGTGTGAGAATGCAAATATGTCAGGGTGATAAGCTAGAAGACCAAGCACAGAATCTGACACAGACCTACTACCCAAAGAAAAGGAGGCTTATCCTAAAAAACAAAACAAAGAAATATAGTAACACACGTATAAACTTGAACTGAAAAGGGGAAATACAGCTGGCCCTTGAACAATGCAGGGGTAGGGGCACCCACCCCCATGCAGTGGAAAATCTGTGTATAACTTTTGACTCCCCAAAACTTTACTAATAGCCTATTGCTGACGGGAAGCCTTACTGAGAACATCAACAGGTGATGAACACATATTATATGCATTATATCCTGTACCTTACAATACAGTAAGCCAGAGAAAAAAATATTAAGAAAATCAAAAGAGAAAAGGTATCTATGATACCGTACTGCATTTATTGGCAAAAAAACCTGCATACAAGTGGGCCTGTGCCATTCAAACCCATATTGCTCAAGGGTCAGCTGTAGATTTACATTAGAGCAATAAGCTACTATCATCAGATGCATTATTGAAGTGATAAGAACTCCGGGTTCATATACAGTTAGTAAGCAGACAAATATACCTCTGACTGTAAGACTGGGGGAAGCTATCTATAAGGTTGCTGGCGATCTGCCACGAAATTTAAGTTCATTACTGACCCTGCCGGAGAAAATGAGAAAGACTTGCTGAGCTGCCCAGCAGCAGGCGGGGGAGAAGTCACAGCTGTTTCTATCTTGGCTGCCCCTGGCCCTGAAATCGTGGGAAAGAAAATAAGAACATTACAAAAAGCTGTTAGAAACACCGTTCCAGTTTGTGATTCCGCACAGCCCCAGCCACACGATGCCACATAAAGGAGCAGAGCCCCAGCCTGCGGGCCCCACCGTGCTCTCCCGACGGGCCAGGTCAGGGGCCAGGGGAGCGGGTGCATTCCAAACTCGTGTGCAAGGCCTCTGAACTTGCTCATTGGCTCTGTCAGTGTTAATTCCAAACCAACACATGCCCCACCCTCCTTTCCACAAAAGCTATCAAAATGATTCCAGTGCAGTTTAAATTGAAACCTTTGAAAGTAGTTTTATAATTTTATAAGACATAATTTACAATGAAGTTTTGTAATTATGGAAAAGTAATATATACTGAAGGAAAAAAAATCCAAAGAGAAATAGGGTAATATGTGAAACATCTCTTCAGTAGTGACTTCACAGCCATTTGCTTTCTCCCTACATTCCTAGATTTCTCATAGAGAATAGTTTTGTATTTAACAAATAGCTTTCTTTTTCATTACCGAAGTATTACATGATTGCTGTAATGCAGAGAAGCGCAGAATGCTAAAAGTGTAATCCAACCTCTTCCCCACGTTCAATTTCACCGTAAGTACTCAGAGTATGAACAGTTCGGGGTATTACCTTCAATCTCCCGCCTATTGCTCTACTTTAAAAAAGGGAGGGAGAGGAAACACTTTATCTAAAAAGCCCAAACTGGGGCACCTGGGTGGCTCAGTCTGTTAAGCGTCTGACTCTTGATCTCAGTCAGCTCAGGTCTTGATATTGGGTTCCTGAGTTCAAGCCCCAGGTTGGGCCCCACGCCCAGCGTGGCACCTACTTTAAAAAAAAAAAAAAAGAATCTGCGGAATCCCGAGTGACTGAGTAGCCACGGGTTTGCGTTAGATAAACCCTCTTCCTTAAAACAGGGTGGTTAGTCAATGAATGTAATGGATGAAGCCATGCAGAAATACGTAAGCTCATCTTACAATAAATCTTCTGTAAGATACTACTCAGAAAAAGTTAAATGCAAAGTTAAGTACTTAAATACTTAAAATACACTTAAGGAAACTACCGCTTACCAGCATATGAAAGCAGTTTCACAATGAACGTCTTTCTCTCTCCAGCTTTCTTATTGGAAGAGGCGGTAAATGCCAATTTGCATTTATCAATTAATGCTTAGCATTAACCCATTACTCAATGCATGGTTATTAAAAATGAATTACATTCCAGGCACCGTGCTGGGCATACAAGTTCAATTAGTGTATTAAGAGTCCAAATCCGTAGGGAAGGAAGAGAAAGTTTCTTTAAGATTCCTTTTGATTTTTTGTATCTGTTTTTCTTAAGTCAGAGAAAAGGGCAAGCATAAATCTGTTCCTCTGACAAAGCCCTGATCAGAGATCTGCTCAGATGAACCAGTTGAGGGAAACAGAGTTTAAGAAAAGGCTAGGAGAAACCACTAAGGGTGTTTCTCCTCCATGGTTAATGGCTAAAGTATCTCAGAAATCCCAGACCATACTGCTTTCACCATTAAACTGGATTTTCCTGTCTTATGTAATATTCGCCTTTTGGTGGCTTTTCTTTGCCTTCCCTACACTAGGAATCTGGCTACAATTCCCAAACTCTAATACACAGTTCTTTCCCTTGGAAGTTCGCAACAACCAAAAATGCCATCTTGGTATAAACAGCATACCAAAGCTTCAAGGTCACTACAAGATAGGAAAGTGGGTAGGCTTGTTTTTAGCTGTTTTAGCTGTTAGGATAGCCCTGAGATAACTAAGAAATTCCTGGAACAGGCAGTGTTGATAAACGGACCAATGAGGAATAAAGAGAAGGCCGGTGGACTAGGGAAGCAGGGCCACTCGATAAGGCCAAAACAGAGCAGTGAGCAGACCTGCTCCATGGGGTGGCAGAGAACAGGCACGATGTGGAAAAAACCAGGGCCTGGGGCTGCTCTTCCTACTGCAGGACTAACCACCAGACACCAACTCCCTGAATGACATTGGTCCTCACCATCCCTCTGTTCAAAGTGAAGAAATGCCCCTCAACTCTTCCCTGTGCCTGGGAGAGGGTGCAGTGGCTAAAGAGATCTAACCGAAGAGAACCGAAGGCTCTGCCAGGAACAGTGTGACAGCGCAGTGCTGCCCCCGCAGGCAGTCCGTCGCTACTACAGAAGAACTCACTGGCTGAAACACACTCCAAGTAGTAACATACCCCATCGCTGCAGAGGTGGCTGTAGGGTTATTCTTCAGTTCCTGCACATTTACCACTTGAGGGACATTCTTCAGAGTTGATTCAGTCAAAGTACTTACAGCTATTCAAATAGAGAAGAGAGAGGCGTATTAACTGCAGTAAAGGATCACAAATTCCAGCCATATACAAATGAAAAACCAGGACAACAAATTCAAGCAGAATGTAATCTTATTATATAAAGGAAATCTACTCTGGGCAGTTCTGCAGCTCTGTGCTCAATGGGACAGCTGGCCTACTACATTAGTAAAGATTATGGGATGAGGTTTTGTGCAATTTAATCAAATGTACTAGTTTAGGGAAAAAGAATTCCCTGGCCATCTTTTATAGAGCAGAGCTGAGCTACCTGCAACACTGTTGGCTCATCCTGGAAAAGGGCAGAAAGAGCTAGAGGATGAGCAGTGTTCAGATTAAGGATTTTGCCATCCATCCAACCGTTCTTTCACATGGGCAGCTTATTATTACCAGATTTTGTTAGGTGTTGGGAATACCAAAAAATGTCCAAAATATAGCTTCTCTAAAGGAGCTCACAGCTTAGTGAGACAGGCACATGAATAAGATGTGGAAAACGGAGCTTGAACAAGAATGGGGGAAAAGGCCAAGAGGCCTGAATTAAGGAATGGCAACAGGGATGGGCATGACACCTTATCTATCTTAGGCATGTCAGCTTGCTTGTCTTTTTGGTCTTTCAATTTAAAACTGCATTCCAAAACACTTAATGACATTTCATAGTTAACTACTAAGAAAGTCTGAGCAAAGCTCTTGAATCAGTTTTTTGACACAGCTGAACGCGGTGGCCAAGGTGGAATGGGGGGTGTGTGGCAGCTCGCTCATTCCCTCCTTCAGAGAAGCGAGCAGGCTCTTCTTGCCTACGGCTACACATACCACATCCTTCACATTCAAAGGTGCCTACACCTTAGAAATTTTTGCTTCCAAAATGATAACAGAAATCACACCACCTCCTGCTGAGTGGAATAATCCCACATCCTGGCAGATTTTACGTTTATAAATAATCGACTCAATCAGCTTGATCTGGGGCCTATTCAGCACAATGCCAAGATTCTGCTTCCTCCAAGTAACATTTAAAGAAAACATCGAAGACTTCTATTTTTTTCAGAAGGCTCAAAGCTACCTTAAAAAGTTATCTTGTTCGTGCTCTTTCATATCTATTTTAGACGCCTTAATAAGGGTTTTAATATTTGAACTTTTCTTCAGAATGCTTTTATCGTAATGGTAATCCTGTTTTTGTCTAAATCAAACCACTATGTCTCTTTAGTCTTTTAAAAACAACTGTCCAAAGTGATACGTGTTCTGAGCAGTGATAAAACTAAAAAATAATTTTATTCAACTAAAACAAAAATATTTGGTTTATAGCAGTTTCTCAACTTTGGCACTACTGACATTTTCAGCCTGGATAATCCTGTGTTGCGGGGGTATCCTGTGCATTGGAAGATCTTTTACAGCATTCCTGACCTCTACCCACTAGATGCCAGCAGCACAGCCAACCGCTGGGGAGGAGTGCGGTGTGCAAAATAGCCTCCACTTGAGAACCACGAAACATTACTGGTGGCAACTGAAGCCCTTGAGGCCAACTACCTAGAAATCCTAATGCAGGAAGTTCTGGATAGCCACAAAGCACTGACAAAATGCAAGTGCTGATGATGACGAGCTCATCAGAGTTTCCATCTGTAAAGGCTAAATTGGCAATCTTAAGAAAACACTGCACTGAAACAGAAAGAGCACAGGGTTGGAGGCCGGGTTCTGCTACTTATCGGCTGGGTCACCTTCACCTCTCTCCGAACCTGACATTACTCAAAAGCAAAATGGGTACACTAATACCCACCTCCCAGAGTGGCTGGGATCCTTATTGATACTATGAGACAATTCTAATGTTATCTAGTGATGTAACAGCAAAGATTAATTTGGGGCTTGAAGCAGGTATTATTCAAAAGTAGGGATCAACAACCTCACCCCAAAACCACGGATTTCCCACTTGACTGGATGTGGCAGATCTAATACCTCCCCTTGAAATGAAAAAGCTTCAGATCTAGTCTCTGCCTTCTTGGGACCCACTCCCCGAAATGGGGGGAGGACTGTCCCATCAGTCCTCTCTTCTCAAGGGCAGCAAAGAGAGCCAGCTGCTGCCTGGGACCTGCTGTGCTGGCCTGCGGTGGCCAGAGCTCACAACCGTGGCTACCTGGGGCCTGGCTGGCCATCTGACGTCTCAGTGCTGCAGCGGCAGCCGCCTGGGGGGCCGAGAGGCTGTGCGAAGGACCGGGGGCGCCATGTTTCACGGTTTTTGTTGCAAGCATTGTGCTATCAGCCCCTTGAGGAATAATTTTGCTAGCAGATGTCGACACTGAAGGAAAAAGAAACACTAAGTAAGAGAGTGGGTCGGAGAGGAATACACAAAAGTAAAAGTGGCAAGTCCTCCACTGTGAGGTTACAGGGAAAACACTAAGGTTAAAAATGCTTAAGCACGCACACAGAAAAGTACCAATAAACTCACAGGCTGGCACCTCTATCTTTCAAAGACGCCACATGCGATGTGCCTGCCCACGTCTACTAAGTAAATCTTTAACATGAGCACTTCCTCTGATACTGACCGAGACAGAACTTTCATGCCAACATAGGTCAACTCCCTGCTCTCTCTTCTCAAAAAATCTCTCCATTCGAGCGCCTCCCAATGGGTGTTTGTCCTCTGTTAGAAGTCCCTTCAATGTGAAGTCCTGACACTGAACTGGAGGTGTGACAGCCCAATACCGGTCACTTCTGAGAGCCAATACTGACACCCAGTGTGGCAGCCAGCAAGTTCCGGGGCAGCATATGGCTACAAGTAACGAGCTGAAGTGAGCTAGAATTTGAAAGGCATGAATGTTGGATGAAAGGATGTTGCTTTAGAGCGAGGCAAACAGCCTCCTCTTCTTACTCCTGAAAACACCATTTGTGTGTGTGCTGTTGTTTTTTTGTTTGTTTTCATGTATGTATGTAATCTCTCCACCCAACGAGGGACTTGAACTCACGACCCTGAGATCAAGATTCGCACGCCCCTCCAAATGAGCCAGACCGGCGCCCCACACCTGTTTTGAAACACCAGCTGGACTCAGCAGGAACGCTGTGCCGGTGTGAGGCCTGCAGGGCCCCTTCTTCCTGCCTCTTTCAGATTTTCTGAATTCAGCTTCTAATTTCTGGACTATTAGCAGAGTGGGGCCGGACTTAGTGGTGGGACAGTATCAAAGCCAGGTACGGCTCCTCCAGCAGACGCAAACCTAACAGGGAGCTTGCTGTGCACTTACTGGACATCCCCAGCACGCCAGGCGAACCATGAATCAGGTGAGATTTAGCGAAAGGCATTGCTTGCGGCAAGACACCAGGCTGGATGGAAGGGGTGCGTGCCACAGGCGCGTGCCGCGGGACCTGCGCCACCGTGTCGTCTTTACAGGACGCCCGTGCGTCTTCGCTCTCCAAAGACTGGGACACGGACGACGTGGAGCTGGCTTCGTCCAAGTCTTCATAGTATCTCTGAGACAGGAAGGCTGACCGGGACAGGCTGGCTACCAAGCCCGAAACAAAACACAAGTTAGACGATTCAGGCAAGTCTGCAAGCTGTGTCATTTCATTTTCACTGTCGGTAGAGAAATACCCAGTTGAGAAACACTTTAATTATGACTTATTTTAAGTGGAAGAAGCTGTCGTGGAAGGTGAACATACACGGTTTGGGGGCCCTGCTCAAAGGAAGCTTTGTGAAACCGAGCGGTGTAGGACAGGAACATTTTGACTGTCAAAACGTGAAGTGAGACGCGGGAGCCATGCTGTGCTAAAGGCAGGAGACCTCGAGCCACCCCCACAAGTTGTCACAGGCAGAATACCAACAAACCGGGAAAGTACCAGACAAGCTTGCACGGAAGAGCCTCTTGCCAACAACAAACTTCTAAGAACAGGTCACGCGAACTGGGGAAGATTGAATGCCCTCAGTCCCGGCGCCTCCAACATCCCCAACCCTCAAATGATTCTTTTGAATCAACTTGGTTAAAAAAAAAAATCCCTGAAACTAATCCTGACTTTCCCTCTTTTTTCCCCCTTCTATAAATGATAAAGTAAGGCCTCATGCTATTTTGGAATACATATGACTGCCGTATAGTGGAAAAAACATAAACCAAACCAAAGATCTAGCCCTTTCTCAAATTACTTAAAAGCACTGCTACTATTTACTGACTTGGTTGCCTTACAGGCACATCGCTCTGCAAGATTTTATTCGTCACAATCAACAAATGCAACTGAGAACCCACGCTACCTGCTGGGGCTGCTGCACCGTTCAGTTTGGTGACCATTAGCCGTATGTGACTATTTAAGTTAAAAATAACTGAAAGTAACTAAATGAAAATTTCAAGTCTTCAAGCTTCGCCAGCCACATTTCAACTGCTCAACAGCTACATGGGGCTACCATACTGCAGTGTACAAATACAGAACAGCTCTCTCTTCACTGAAAGTTCTACTGGACAGCACTGAAAGTTCTACTGGACAGCAGTGGGCCAGAGTATTTTCATGCAAGTAAATATGCAGCAGGGTCACCTGGAAATTCCATCCATAACCACCAGCACCACTAGTAAAACTGCAGTGCATATTTTCTGAGAACTTATTTGGTGCCAGATGTTGTACAAAGGATCTACATAAATTATCCTATTTAGTCCTCACAATTATCCTATAAATTAAAAATTGCTATTATCAGACTTTATAATTAATACTTAAAAAGATTAAGTATTTGCATAAGGTCCTGAAGCTGCTAAGTGGTGGACCAGAATTCAAACCCAGGTGCATCTGACTTGAAAGACCATGTTCTTAACAATATTACCGAACCCTGTGCTGGGCAGAACTGTGACCCCATGACCTTTGCCCCTGGTGCCACACCATGGTCATGTTTCCTCAGATGGCGAAAGGATGTTGCAGACATAATTAAGGTTACTAATCAGCTGGTCTTAAAATTGGAAGGTTATCCAGGATTATCCAGGTGGGCTCAAGGTAAAATCTCATGAGCCCTTAAAGGCAGAGAGGGGAAGCCAAAGAGGAAGTCAGAGAGCTGACGCCCGAGAGGTCCTCACCGTGCTCTCGCTGGCGTGCAGATGAAGAGGCCGGGAGCACACACCAAAGAAACACTGACCTCAGTCTGACAGCTGCAAGAAACTGAATTCTGCCAACAAGGGGAATGAGATTAGAGGTGGCCTCTTCCCCAGAGCCTCCAGATAAGAACTGGGCCCAGGCAATATCTTGACCTCAGCCTGGGAGCCCTGAGCAGAGGACACAGTGCAGCCACGGGGCGCCTGGACTTCTGTCCCACACGACTCTGACAGCAGAAATAGGTGGTACTTCAAGCCACTACATCCGGGATAACCTGTAACAGCACGCATAGAAAGTAAGCACAAACCCCACATTTTCTTAGGGCCACACTGCTCTAAAACAGTTCTCTAAAATCTTAGTTCCTCAGAGGTAATAGCAGCAAAAGACGATTCACACTCATCGCCTTCAAGAACTGGATAGAGACTGACATAACTATGTAACTCCCAAGGTCTGATATACCCCAGGAGGTCTCGTGTTTCCTTCCTTCATCTTTGTGATGCCATTCACTGACCTTGGATGGAGGGAGATCCACTGAGAGATGTAATGGCTATGCTCACTCACACAGGCCAGGAGCCTGGCCCGCCCACTTTCCCAATGGCGCTGTCTTCACAGCTGATATGCCCACTCCTGTTGGGATCAAGGATGCAGCTACCTTCCTGGCATTAGAAAAGGGGCTCCACTGAAACCTAAAGAATCTTAATCTGCTTAAACTCTAACTCAGATTAGAAAAGGCAGAAAGCCATGTTAACAGAAAAAAAGAAGGAAAGAAATCATCTCAGTAGACACAGCAAACCTCACATCTCATGGGGAACTAATAGAAACCGTTCCCTTTGAGCTCAAGACAAGGATGCCCACTCACCACTTTAATGGACTCTGCACTGGCAGTCCTAGCTAGTGAAATAAAGTAAGAAAAATAAAAGACCAAAAAAGAAGAAACAAAAGTATTAGTACCTACAGAGAATGTAACTGTTCCCATAGAAAGTTCAAGAAATAGCTACAGACATTATTTGAATAAATGAATTTAGCAACAGCTACAGACATTATTTGAATAAATGAGTTTAGCCAGGTTGCTGGATACAAAGTGAACATACAAAAATCCAATATATTTCTATTATCACAACTAACATAAAATAAAAAAAATAAAATGAAATTTAGCAAAGAAAATCCACCATTACAGGAACATCAAAAATGCTAACTAAACTCGGGTGCCTGGGTGGCTCAGTTGGTTAAGCGACTGCCTTCAGCTCAGGTCATGATCCCGGAGTCCCGGGATCGAGTCCCACATCGGGCTCCTGGCTCAGTGGGGAGTCTGTTTCTCCTTCTGACCCTCTCCCCTCTCATGCTTTCTCTCTCTCTCTCTCTCAAATAAATAAATAAAATCTTTAAAAAAAAAATGCTAAACTCATAGCAATAAATCTAACAAAAGATGTGTATGTTCTTCATGAAGAAAACACTGAGAGAAAATAAAAACACAAATAAAAATATACCATGTTTAGGAGCTAAAAGATCAACATTGTACAAATGCCAATTCTCTCAAGTCCATCTAGAGATTTAATACAATCCCCAACAAAATCTCAACTTTTCTTCGAGGGCTGAGGGAGACAGAATTTAGCAAGACAATTCCAGTATTCATATGGAAAAAGAAAGCACCAGGAAGGGCCAAAACATTCTAGATCACGAGTCAGCAAACTAAAACCATGGGCCAGCTATCTGTTTTTATAAATAAAGTTTTATTGAAACACTGACATGGCCATTCATTTGTATACCATCTGTAGCTCCTCTCCCATTACAAGGGCAGAGTTGAATTAGGCACAACAGAAACCATGAGGCCAGCAAGCCTAAAGTATTTACTACCCAGCCCTTAAAGAAAAAGGTTGCCAACTGCTGTCCTAGACTGCAGAACTTTCTGTGATGATAAAATTACTACTATCCTGTTATAGTAGCCACTAGTCACATGTGCCTACTGAGCACTTGAAATGTGGCTACAGAGATTGTATAACTGAATTTTTAGCTTGATGTAGCTTTTATTAACTTAAATAGGCTACTGTATTAAGACAACACAGCTTCAGAATCTAGAAAAAGAACAGTACTGAGGTTTACTTTAGTACAAGTTAATTAAGGCAGTGTGGTAGCAGTGGTTTCTAATCAGTGTATGACACCAAGAGACCTACATATAAGGATAACTGATTTACAACAAAGGTGGCCACTAAGCAGGGAGCAAAAGGGTCTTTTCAATAAACACTACTGGGACAATCAGATATCTAAATACAAAACATATGAGCCATATTTATATCTTACACGCAAATCAATTCTGGACAGTATAAACAAAACATGGTACACCCATACAATGGACCACTCTCAGCAATTAAAAGGCACGAACTACTTACATATGTTGTGCATCATGCGTGAACCTCAAAAACATACTAAGTGAAAGAAACCAAACAAAAAAACTATATATGATTCCATTTATATGCAATTTCAAAAAAAGGCAGATCCCTACAGAAAGAAAATAGATCAGTGGTTGCTGGGGGCAGAGGAAGGAATGACTATAAACAAGCATGAAGAAACTTCCTGAGTGGTAGGCGTGTTCTAAAACTGGAACGTGGTAATGGTTATACAATTCTGCAAGTTTAATAAAAATCATCAGACTCTAAACTTATAAAAGATGAATTTTATAATATGTAAGTTATACCTCGATGCAGCTGTTTAAAAGAGAATCAATTCCAGGTAGATGGTAGATCTAAATTTGAAAAGCAAGCCATTAATATTTCCAGACAATAATAAAAGTGCACGCATACTCTTGTTATGCAGCACTAGAGAAGGATTTCTTAAAGAGAACACAGAAAAGTACCAACTGCAAAAGACAAGGAATGGTAAGTCTATTTTAAAATGAAGCACTTCTGTTTGCAAAAGACATCATTAAGAGGGACAAAAAGCAACAAAGTGAGTACCTACAACCCATATAACCAACAAAGGGCCAGTATCCAGAACGAATACAAACTTTCACAAATCAGTAAGACAGATTACCCAATAGATAAGTGAGCAAAAGATGCAATCATACACTTCACAAAAGTCAACTATTAACCAAATACGTAGTAACACATACAAGGGTTACATCAGAGTTGTTAAAAGGAAAAAGACTGACAATATTAAGCTTGGCAAAAATGGAGAAAACTGAAATAGCCATACCTTGATGGTAAAAGTAAAATAAGCTGGTACAACCACTCTGGAAAACTGTATAGAAGACTCTACTGAAGCTGGGCATGTGGACAGACCACGAGCTAACAATTCCATTCCTCGCCACGTGACCAAGTGTAAGGAGTACACACATGCCCGAAGATGTTCAGAACAGCGTTCTATTCTGTTACAGCCAGAAACTGGAAACAGTAAATGTCCACTAGGAGGAGGATGGATAAGCAAATGCAGCACACTCATACAG